ATCCAAATCCAAGTACATACAGTTTCAGCCACCTGATATTTGACAAATGTGCCAAGAACACACAATGGAGGAAAGACAGCATCTTCAACAAATGGTGCTGGCAAAACTGGATCTCCATCTGTAGAAAAATGAAACTAGATCCTACTAGATACTTTTGCACAAAAGTCAACTCCAAATTGATCAAAGATCTCAATGTGAAACTGGAAACCCTGAAACTATTAGAAGAAAACTTTGGCAGTAACTTACAGGATTTAAGGTGAGCAATCAATAAGTGGAACCTCATTAAACTAAAAAGCTTCTGTACAGCAAAAGAAACAATCAAAAAAGTGAAGAGAAAACCCACAGAATGGGAAAAAAAATCTTCACCAGTGACACATCTGACAGAGACTTAACATCCAGAATATGTAACCAGAATATATAAAGAACTCAAAAAACAAAGAAGCAAGAAACTAAATGACCCAATTAAAAGATGGGCTAAAGATCTAAACAGAGTTCTCAAAGGAAGAAATAAGGATGGCTAAGAAGCATCTCAAAAAGCATTCAACATCATTAGTAATTAGGGAAATGCAAACCAAAACCACCCTAAGGTGTCACCTTACCCCAATCAGACTGGCTGGGATCAAGAGAACAAATGATACCCAATGCTGGTGAGGATGTGGAGAAAGGGGAAATGCTCATTCACTGCTGGTGGGATTGCAAACTCGTGCAGCCTCTATGGAAAACAGTGTGGAGAACTCTTAAAAAACTAAAAATGAACCTACCGTATGACCCAGTTATACCACTCCTGGGCATATACCCAAAGGACTCATCCTATTGCAGAGACACTTGTACTGTTTATTTGTTGCTGCTCTTTCCACAGTAGCTAAGAGATGGAAGCAACCTAAGTGCCCCTCGGCTGACGAGTGGTTAACAAAAATGTGGTATATTTACACAACAGAGTTCTATTCAGCAGTAAAGAAAGATGAAATAATGAAATTTGCAGGTAAATGGATGGATCTAGAAACTGTTATACTATGTGAAGTAACACAGACTCAGAAAAACAGATGACATATGTTCTCCCTCATATGTGGATCCTAGAGCCAAATCCTTTTAAATTCCAGGTCCTTTTAATGAGATGATGCTATAGAGCAGTCCCTTCTGCATGAAATAAATGCCATCATCACAACTTCAGCTGAGTCTGATCGCTAAACATCGTCACAGTTGGGCTGGTTGACAGTTGTGCTTGTTCATTAAAGGAGGGCCAAGCAGGGTCACTGGACCTCACTGCATTATCCAGCCACTCTTGCCAGCAACTGTATGTAATTTGACCCTAATCACACATGGCCCCCTGGACTTGGGGAGGGCTAAAGTGTACAATCTGGGGAAGGCTAGGAAGAGAAGACTTGACCCATGCTGGGTGTGCATACCCTCAGCTCATATATACACCTCAGCAGCCCCTCAGTTATCTCGAAGCCTTTGAGAGGGAACCGACACTGATTCTAACCACTCCAACAGCTATCAAAGTGCCTGAAAGCAAATCCTGAATCCATCACTCTAGAGTCCAGCCTTGGAAGGGAAAAGAAAAAGGAGGAGGAACCCGATAGAGGGATGTTTTGGAAGCCCTTGTCAAGAAATTCCAATGGACTCTCATGTGAACATTTGAAAATTGCCCTGTTCTGACTTTTTTCTAGTTCCCTGTCTAGGAATGCTAATTATTCTTGCCTTTACTTCTCCTTCACCTCTCCTAGTCATGATTCAAGGACTTTCTTTTCCACTAGAGATAAGAGTTATGCAATTTGGGAGTCTTTTAGATAGACCCACTGAAGGGGGTACCCCACTTGCCTCACCCTGCGTCCCTATTCAGCATGGAAGAAGCCGGAGCGGTCTGTGTCTTGATTCCCTATCGGCAATTTGAGTAACCTCTTCAGAGGATGGTGTGATAAGAATAGGAGGTAGGAATTGGCTAGGCAGTTAGGGTAAAAAGACCCCAAAGAAAAGCAGCCAGTTTCTTGGCTAAAACTCACAGTGTCCTTGGGCCTCTTAGCAACCTACTCCATTCCAAAGGCCAAAAATGTCAAAAATATTTGGGAGCTTTTATCTATTCCTTAAAAGATTTTAGGGTTGCCTCTTCAGAGGGGGAGTGTTAGAATAGCCAAAAGCCCCATAAAAAAAAATAAAGAAGAAAGAGTACATGAAGTTATCAGAAAAAAATGATGGGGAGATATGGGAGGAGTTGGAGGGGAGGGAGTGGGCATGGATTTGATCAAAACACCTTATGTGCATGTATGAAATTCTCAATAAATTATTTAAAGTTAAAAAAAATAGTTAATATACTATTCCTCAATATCTTTTAAGGGATTG